GTATCACTGGGGCCCCATAATATACAATCTTGAGGAACAGGCATTCATATTGATTTATAACTTTCTGCCCAGTAGATCATTCTGCTTTGGCTCTCTTGAATGCGATCTGAGAAGCAGATTCACATATGGACACCATGCAAATGCATAAAAGTGCATGGGAAGTCACCCAGATTTAGAAATGGGTGGTTGAGGGGCAGCCTACGAAATCAGGATTTTTCATTGTCAATTTAGATATTAATTTTGAAAAATTGTTCCTAACTTTCCTTTTACCCTCATTATTTTGTCCCTTTTGCCATAGTATAAAATAGTTATTAGCTCCCGGGAACCTAGGTTATTTTAGTTGTACAGTCAAACTACAGTCAAACTCAAAAACAGAACTGGGTAATAACTCCAGGAAAATGCATTCATCAGAAAAATATGTCAGTCCCATGCATTTGCTATATAAAATGTATGTAATTTTACTTGTAGAAACGTATAGACTTTTTCAGTTTACTTGGAGCTGGCAACCTAGTGGTTACAGTAAGGGGGGAAAGGAGAGGCTTCAGACAAAGGAATGACCATCACAACTTCTTGGGGCATGCAGTGTTATCCAGTGGAAGTGGATAAATTCCTAGAGCGGGAAGCTGATTCCATTGATGCAGGTGCTGTACTTCTCTCCCTGCCCAAGAGGCTTGTGTGAAATGTTTTGAATGTTCAAAGTGATTGAACTGTTGTGAGTGTTTAGTTAATTTCTTACTTTGTCGTGTGTGTAGTGTTTCATAAATGATAAGGTCAGGGAATAGGAAACTCTTGATATTGCAAGAACATGTGGAAGTGTTAAGAGTGCAAAAGAAGAATGATAGTTTATGCAATTTGTGAAAAATTTGGAATAAAGAAGACATGCGTGTATACAATTTTGCAAGAGAAAGAATGTATTATGGACGAATGGTTGCTGGAGAAACTCTTTACTCCCCAAACGAAGAGCTGTTAAAAATGGGAATGAAAGAGTTAACAAACTTACGTGGGAATGATTTATCACAATGCGAGCAAAGAACATGCCAATTTCAGGGCCCATTTTACAAACCAAGACTATTGAAATCTCTCAGAAGTTAGGCTAGGAGTAATTTGAAGGCTTCAAATGGATCATTGAAATCGTGCAAGACCTTGAAGACTGTATATGGAGAAGCAAAGGACGGTGATAACTAGGAAGCAGATTTCTATAATTTGTGCATATTTTTGTCCGTTGCTTCAGTGCACAGATAAGTGAAATATTGTTCGTGCATATTTGGTAGATTTTTGCTGTTGGTGCATATTCATATAATTATAGGCACACATTTTGCATATTCTATTAGAATAGAGACTTGTCTCTAAAATCTTTTCATAGAATTTATTTATTTGTGAGCATTCATTGATTCAAAAGATCTTGTCATGGTTTGCGTTTGTTTTTGTTTTCTATAGATGATGAAATACTTGTGCAAATGTAGAATATTTCTTATAAAAAAATTTACACCAGTGAGAAGAAATACAAGATATACAATATACTTCACTAAGGTGAATATTTACTTCTATTATTTGTCTTGCAGGGTATATAATGATTGCACAAAAATATCTCTTTTCATTTCAAGCATGCTTCTCGTGAATTTTATGAAGAAAGGCTTATAGAGGAAATGAAATATTGTTAATTTTAATTGCATGTTTCATAATTTTTAGGTCATAAATGCACATTATTAATGTCATATTTTAAGATTATTTAGGGCATAGAAATCCTCTCCCTTGCGATCACGAGGCAGGAGATGAGTGGCTGAAAAGAATTCCAGAGATCACATCTGAGTACAGTGAACTGTGACTAAATCACGTTGTTGCATATTGTATGTACTACAAAAGTGATTTAATTAAAACAATTATTTTGTGATGAAGTGCATTTTATTTAGTTATGTCTATTTTCCAAACCTAGTGATAACAGAAAACAGTCTTTAATGAAAATTGTCATTGGTCCTGTGCTCTTCTGTTATGAGCAGGTTTGAATTTATTAGGCAAAGTTCGTTTTTGTTGACAGGTTGCAATACTAATGACCAGAGAACTTTTCCTTGACACCTTACATAACACCACCACCACCAGCAGTGTGCCTCTCTCCACTATGACCATCATTCTCAACGACAAAAGAATCACATGTATTATCTAGGCTATCCGGGACAAGCCGCATCACTGACATGATGGCTAACGTTTCAGCCAGCATATTGTGGCCTCCTTTAGAGTGTACTGCCATAGAGCAGTACACTCTGAGGAAGACCACAATATGCTGGCTGAAACGTTAGCCACCATGTCAGTGTCATGGCTCATCTCGGATAGCGCAGATTGTACAAACTCCGGCTGCGGAAGCCTATGCACCCAAAAGAATCACCTACCATAATTACATATGAAAATGTACGGGAGAAGCAAATCAAAATATTCACGAATTCATTAATGCAGTTAATGTTATGTCAGATATTGCAAGATAGGAAGATCCCAAACCCTTGGTATTTGCCCTTACTCTTATTGAGGGAATTGCCAAACGTTTGATATCATTATCCTCAGATTTTGCACAGATCAATTCAACTGTATGAGCTTGCCAATTCATGCTCCTCCTCCACTCCATCCTTTCTTGTTAATGAACTATTACTAATCAAGCGATTTTTATTCTCTTTCCCTTCCCAATTAACCCTAGAAATATGAAAGGTGCTCACCACCTTGATATTGGTTTCAGTTCTTTTGATTCATGTGCTCAACATTGAGAATTAATGTAATTGTTGAGGCTGTTTCGTTCTTCATTTTTTCACAATGGTAGATTTGTGTATCTTTTTTTTTATCTGCGTTTTTCTATTGAGGGTTTGATAAACTTCTATGTAGAAGACTTAGTTTTTCCATTATGCTTTTAGTGATTTTATTATTATTCCCTTTTTGTCTATATAGGAAAATTTTGCGTTGGCAATGTTGGCAGCATCCATACTTTTATGTAAATGCCCCTGAACAGAATTGACAGTAAGTGTGACTATATTTCAGTTGTTTATTCACTCAAGAGGCAGAGGGTTGGCAGAATGGAAATAGATGGATTCTTGTGAAGGAGTGTATAATGTTAATAAGTGTATATACAATGTTTTTTCCTAGGGTTAACAATGAATTACACAATTCCCGCCACCACGCTCCCAGAGCTCCTCCTCCACCTCTTCCTACAGCATTCTAACCAAACATGAACAATCTCTCGGCGGTGGCCCTGCCAGAAGATTTCCAATTCAACCATTCCAAGGGCAACAGGCTGGACTCGTCTAGGAAAAATTCTTCCCCTCCCCCTTTGCATTCATATAAAATGTTCACGATACTGTTCTTTTAGTAGACAATGGAGTTCAGAAATCAATCTTATTCAGAAAACTCATTCCACCATCAATAACATTTCAAACAGCGGCAAAGAATTTTACAATCCATCACAGGTCACAGTTTCAATGTTTCAGATTCAATTTCTGTAGAAATTCAAGTTTTTGGGGTTTCACTGTTCTACCATCTTCGCAAGCACTTGGCCACTGCACCTGATCAATGTGGCCAAATCCAAGGCCTTGCAAATTTGAAGTTGATTTTTTAATTTTGGAAGGTGCATTACATGAAGCTCCCAGGGCATTTTCAAAATTTTCTGTGTGAAAAAGTGACCTACAATTTTTTCTTTACATTTTTTGTATGCTCAAATTTAGCAAAATGCTTTTAAAAAAATAATAATCATCCCATTGTCAATAAAAATCTCTGAATTTCCAAAAATTACCAAAGTTTCCAATTTTTTTGTTGACTCTTGTACAACTTTCTTATTGAAGTTAGATTATTAATAAAATTCTCCAAAATAATGAAATTTAAAAAGCTTAAAAATGAAATATTTTTTCAGAAAGAAGCTTCCAATTTTTTCTTAGGAGTTTTCGCACCAATGGAGAAATGTATGTTGGTAATTATGGTGTATGTAGATAAGATTATCATTAAAACTTCCAAACTTTTGTAGATTGCAAAAGTTCACTTTTTTTGTTTTTCATCTTCATCTATCGATCGTATTGAAGCTGGCGATTTATTCCTTCTTGAACAATAGATCTTGAAATGATGTTTGTAACTACTTAGAAGATAATGTTTACCCTTGTCTCCAGTAGAGATGGGCTTCAGCTTGTATATTTATATACATGTATATTTCTAGAAATTCCACCAAAACATGGAACCGTAGTTTATGTATGGTTTGACACACTATAGAAACCAGAGCACATGTTTATGTAAGAGGTAAGAGGTATGCCTTTGTGGTCACAATTGCCTCAGATCTTATGAAGTTTCTCGAAGTCTCAAAAGTTTTCATGGGTAAATACTTCATTTATTTAGTAGGTAATAAGAGGTTAACTGATAGTGACCTCTTGTTGGCCGGCTAGTCTTCACTGTGGCCACCAGAAGTAGAAGTCGGAGTTTGATTTTTGGTAGAACAACATTTTTTCAAAGGAACTGATGAATATGGTGTAAGTTTGGTTTTCATTGAAAGCTCTGAAATTTCTTCAATTGCAAATTTGAAATAGCTTTCAAATAATCTCAGAAAGCCTAATCATAAAGCTATGATGAAAGTTTAATCTTGATTGATCTTAATTAAAGAACAATCAAATATGTATGTACATAAAAATCCTAGCCCTAATTATTTGTATCCCAGATGATAGAAACATCTGTGAAATTGATTCTCTACTTCAACAAATTTAATAACCATCAAAAACTACTTTTTATGATAATTTGAAAACAATGTATTGTATATATAAATTGAACAGTCCCATAGATGTGTGATCAATGATCTATTTGTATATTATCAAAAATTGTAAAAAAAAAAAATATTTTTTATTAAATTTATTTCTAGCAAGTATTTTTTTGAAGGTTTTAAATTTGAACACAATGAAACAAGCATTAGCTTTTCTAAGTATGTTGCGTATTCAAAGGACGTGTTGCCAAAAAGTGCAGATGCTCAAAATATTGTTTTCTTTTTTAAGGGCCGACAATTTAGACCAAGGTGCCAGCCACCATTGCCTGATGGAGATTTATTGGAACATCCTGCTCTGCAACATTTAGTTCTGGATTTGGCTTCACATTTGGAAGTCCGTGGACATTTTATGGAAACAAATGAAATGGACTGATTGCTAGCTGGTAGCAGTTCACCTACTGCTTTAGCTCCTAGGAACTCAGAGCCTCCTGGATTAAGCAGCAATGTTCTGAAACAACAGTGTATACTAAAATCGCAGGTGAAATTCGTACTTTGGACCAGTATGTATTACTCAACAAGCTTTGCGAACAGTGATGGTCCAAGTAAGACAACAATGCGTGAAGAAATGTTTGTCCCTGTACAACATGTAGAAAAATATAGTATTGGAGTTTTACCTACATCTGTTTGCAGCAGTTTATTTGCATGGATAATTGTTGTGTTGCAAGTGCTTGGTGGAGGCTTCATTAAATCGACAATACAGAGAGAAGATGTGCAACAGTTTCTAGTCAGTTAACATTTAAACCTGTTATAATGGAAAGTGTGGTGAAGCTGTTACGTATACATTATGTATACATTATATCTCACTTCACAGCATGAACTTGAGTCATCATCAAGATTAACGTGTTACAAATTGTTATATTTCAACTGTACTACTGGTTCATTACTTTCTTTTTCGTAACAAGGGAGCTTTGTCCGGGTAATTTATGATGAATTACCTGTATTTTCTCAGATAAATCCTTTTTATAGCTTTAAGAGAATGTAATTATGATTAATCTTGATGGAGAATTGAAAATCAGTGCTACAATAGTTCTCATGTTGCAGAGCATTTTGTACAGCATAGAGAAGGCTTCTGACAAGGCCTGCATTGTTACGTAGGAATATTGCTAGATGGTTTGCTTTAGAAAATTGCAGCTTGGCGACTAGTCATATTGTTAGCGATGCCAACCAACCACTGCCATCCAAGACAAGTTGGAATCGCTTACAGGCTGTGAGGCAATGAGGGCCCATGACTTAAATTGTATTGCATTGAATCTCTTATGATAAGCTGGGTAATGATTACAGTAATCTGATTGTTTGTAATCAGTAGTTTCCTATGTTGATATGAGAAAAACTTAAGTCTGCTGAAAGGAATACAATACTGTATTCTTGATTATTTGGGAACAACTTTGTGACCCTGTGTGATTTTTGTGATACTCATCTTCCATATTGGACTGTCTAATTTCTACGGTCGGCCCAATGTGTGCATTCACTAATGTGCAGTGCATGGATGGGATGTTTCTTCTTAATATTTCAGTCCACCTCATCTCTGTTATTTCACTTCAGGGAATACAACTGAAATAACCACCACTTTACATGTAAATAACTGTAGTAAACAATAATTACCTTTTCTGTATATAAGATAATATCAAGTACAGTATTTAGTCTCCCTGATTCGTAATGTATGAATCTCGCTTCATGAAATATATTTAATGAAATGTTAAAGTGAATAATGAAAGTTAACACAATCATATCAATCTAAAATACATATGTAATACAGCATATGGATCATGTTCATCAATCACCTTAGCTTTATTTATTACTTTATTTTTTATTTATATGATTAGAAGTTTTATTTATAGGTATATATTTTTATTTGATTTTAATAATTTTATTAAAACTACAGGATAGACCATGAGTATTATTTTATTTGCAGTGTTGTTACAGCACTAAAGCTTGTGATTTTTTTCTGGTCAGACAGAAACTAGTCTAGTCAAGGTGTACAAGATGACAAAGTGTATGTTTCTACTTTTTGTCATGGATGGGAGATATGAAGGCAGTCTCTGTTTCTGTGTTGAATATGCTGTTCTCTATTATTTCATTGAAGTGTCTGGTCAGTTTTTGAAGTATTTTAATATATGTATCTCATTTCTTTCCTGGAATGCTTAAACATACAAACGTTCCTGATGTTCATAATTAAACAGTTTACTGTATGCAATATGAAACTGGGATGGCTAACATCTTTACTCATTCATGTAATTTTGGGCTTCAGTTTACTTTGGTCAGTTATTAGATTTGCAACATAGCTATTATGTATAAGGAAACTTTATTTCCATCACAAAATTGGGAGTAATAATGTGTTCAGATATTCAATCAAATAATGGAATCAATATTACTAGATTAGTGCAATTAAATAAAGCAATGAAACATAAAGCAATGGGCATAAAAATTACGAAAATTTATCGCCCACAAATACTTCTTTAGATAGGTACTTCTTGTAAAGATTTTCCATGTGTTGAGTAGATTTTATAAAAGTCAGTTGTATTAAAATTAAGCTAATTTTCTGAAGTGAATGGATTTGAATCCATATTTGTTCTAGTTTAATAGATAAGGAAAACCTGTTTTTTCAGTGACTGCATCTTAGCTATCATTATGTGTATTTGCTTTTCCAGTATTGACACAGTGTTGTGTTAAGTGAGACTGTCAATGAAATTTGAGTAAGTGTTGCACACTCATTGAGTGTAGGTGGAATGTCCTTTTTTATTTGACAGAGTGGTATAGGTACTCCAGAAGTATCTAATGTTAGTCATGCGCGGTTGACTTTTTGATTACTACACTGGGAGATTTTAGGTCAGGATTGACTCTCCCATTGAAATCAGTAGTCTCAAAGGCATTGACCTGACAATATCAGCTTCCTCAGACCATGAGGCATTGATAGCAAAGCACTGCATGGTAGTGATATAAGGAAAGAGGATATTGTAATTAAATAGTATCAGTTTGTGAGAATAAAGAAAGATAAGCCTTGAGGTTGTTCAGCTGCTTTAATGTGGCTGAAATATTGTTAAAACTATGCATTCTGCATTCCATTTTGTATTTAATAATGTGGGAGTTTGTGTGTTGAAAGGAGTTTTAAAAAGACATTATTTAATCATTCTGTGAGAATGTTTTTACTTTCTCAATATATGCAATATAAAAAAACGCAATTGTGCAAAAAATTAATTTCAAGATTTTTTAAATTGTGCCTGTTGGATGTCTATTGGGGAGTGTAATGGAAATACTTGGCTTTTTATAATAAAAATTAATTATTAAAACCTGCCAGCAAATAAAGTATTTTATTCAGTGATGTAGTTTCTTAAAAGAGATGGCACTATTGTTTGTTGTATTGATGAAGATTGTGCTCGCATGTATCTCTAAGTTGGCAATTATCCATAAACAGGGGTAACCTGTGCAATAATCTGCTGTGAAGCATTAATGTGTTGAGCATTGCTTGCTCTGCCCAAGACTGCCGTGTTGCCAGAATTCTGGTTCTTACGTCCTGAGTAAAGAGAAGGATAACCACATATTTCTCATGGTTGATAGTTCATTTCAAAGTTTGTTTTTTTATCAATTACATTCCAAGTTAAATGTGTATAAAATACTTCATTTTCACTATCATTAGGATTATCACCATGACACATTCAGTATTACCTACTAGTCCCATGCTCATTTATGCGCAATTTTGTATCTTCATTTATACTATATAGATGGTTATATTCACTTACTCTCCGGTTTGTGCTTACAAAATATTTGACGGTTTAACAATAATAGTACACTGAAATTAGTAACATAGAAAAATAACAGGAATTTCCAACAATCTCTGTGTTTGTTTCCTTATTCCCATCAACTATGCCACATATACATTTCATTTTGGTTTAGTTTATAGGGAAATTTTATTGTGTTTTCTTATTTCACAATAATAAGAATAAGAGTAATACTGTTCATATCAAGTTCTTTAACATGTCTATTGTGATCTTTATGTATTTTGTCTTGTAGTAGCCTCATGCTATGTTTCAGGTTGAGAGCTGTTGAGTTGTAACAGTGTTTCCTTACAATTGTAAAACAAAGTGTACAAAAGTTAACTATTGTGCAAAAAATGGAATAGCTTAAAAGATTACACAAGTTCTGACGAAGTAAATGAGATATTACATTAATATCACAACTATAATAAAATAATATTGTAGAAGACTCTAAAATTTAATGTGTCATTTTATTTTGACCACTTCCTGGTTCTACCCCCAGAGTTTCAATAGAGAGGTATTGGGCGATTTTAGGAAGGGCTACCTATAGTAGCTTCTTTCAGGGCTCTTTCTTGGCTTGGAAGTATGCCAGTTGTCTTCATTGTTTTCTGTTTAAATTTAAAAGGAGGTCATTACTTTGGCTGAGCTTCAGTTATAGTCTGTTCCAAGTAAACATTGAATAACAACAAATATTGACAAAGATTATATTTTGTGCTACACTTGATCATGGGTATGTTGGTGGTAAATATATGCCTCGTCAAGATCTCAGAAAGTTAGCGCTTCACGCTCAGATGTTGGCTGGAGCACTGGACGTAAGTGGGGGAGGACGAGTAGGAGGGTCAGTTGGCAGGTGAATCCTGAAATAATCTCGCGCCGGTTCATCCTATGGGTGTTGCTGGTTTTCTGCAGCTGTGTGAGGTAGCAGACACTTTACATCTGGTAGTTTTGATCAGATGAAGCATGGGCGATGATCTCCCAGGTGAGCAGGTTGCAAATGAATTGTGGATTGTACGGAGGGCCTAAGGGGACGATTTTAGCCTGCCTCTGCTGTTTTATACATAGAATGTTTATTTTTAATCAGTCTCGGACCTCGCGGCCGGTAGTGCTACGCTACGGCCAAATAACATATAACAGAGTTCGTGATATTGGAGCCAATAAGGACACTAACCTCGCAACCCAGTAAGAATGCCGGAGCGGATATTACAGCACACTAGACAGTACATTTCCGGGGCGGGAATTCTTTTAATTTTCGCTCTTGCTATACAGCGCGTGCGCTGTCATTAATTACTTCAAGTTTTTTTTGAAGTGGCAGCATAGTATTAATCCATTAATTGTTTGTCACCTAAACAGTGTAATGGACAATTATGAGTTATTTTTTTATTCCTTCATTTCAAAATGTAGAAAGCCCATTCATTCTAGCTTATCTGCAAATTTTCGTAACTGAAGTTAAACTAGTATTCCCTCCAGAAACGAAATCGCGAACGTCACGGACTTTGAGATTTGTACCTCTCACCGAGTTAAGTGTAGTTTAAAACTTTAGGGTGGTTTTACAATAATTTACAGATAGTGTATTTAGTGCATTTTTTTTGTTCTAGGATGTAGTATGAATGTATGTATCAACTCTATTCCAAAATCGATTCTCCTGAGCGCAGTAATATTGTACGTGAATACGGTGGTGAATAACATAGCAGTATCTGTTTAACCCTTAAGTAAAATTCGAGTAAATTGTTGAGTAAGGAGAACCACGTTATTGGGCAAATGAGCCAATTGGTTTGAATCATGTTTCACTCCGATATTTTATAGAAAAGCTGTGGTATTTTCTGCAATTTTGGTGATAGCTTTGCAATTGTATTTTTACGCCTTTTTACTTTTTATAATAAATATTTGCTGTAGAATTATGTAGATGAGGTATAGAATGGCTAGCTTTCTCAGGCTGTGTAGTGTTTTTGACGTGCTAAGTAGTATATCCAGAGGTTTACAAGAGGAAAATTATCGTTCGGGGCAATTTCGAGATAATTTTCAACATGTATTTTATATTATAGAATTTGTTGGCGAGTTGTAAAGTAAAAGAAAATGCCCTGGCAAATAAATTAGCCCCTGGATAACTTAGATGCAAATTATTGTTTACTCATAGTCAAGTATTTTTATGTAATTGCTGTATTTTTTATAATTGTAAAATGTATTAACATTTTATCTTTTCAGTTTTTAGAATTAAAGTATACCCTTCTTTACTGATTTACTAAATTCACCTGCTTGCAATAACGGCCATACTCAGAAGAAAGAAACGGTGGTGCATCCCATGTTTCCATCAATCCATTATAACCTAATGTAAGTTATCTTGCACATTGGCAGTGAGGTAAGACACTGATTATAACTCGGAAAAAATCTGAATCCCTCCAAATACACTACCTCTGTGACAAATTTTCATCCTATGTACATTTCCATATTCAGTCTCATTACAAATTGTGTTATCAAGACTTGCCATTTATTAGAATAACATAGGCCATATTTTGAAAATATTGACTTCTTTAAAACTTAATTCAGTTTCTTTGAATTACATTTCATCTGGATGTCAATGTGGGCATAGACCATCACTGTATCATTCAAAAAAAAGTATTTAATTTCATAGTTTTATACTCACATACGATCTTTCCTTTCTGGGATGTTTCGTAGGTAATATAAAAGCCTTGCTCTGCCCTTCCAACTAACAATTAGATAAATTTATTCTGTTCCCTTGATGTTAGATGGCATCATAACAAGAGTAACGTTGGCCTCCTTATTTCATTTCTCGGAGAGCTGAACATCCCATTGCATAACCGTTTATGATATGTGAACGGTGTACCACGTCACACGTTAGTAGGCACGAGAAACAATAGCTGGCTGCCTCCTTCGCTTCCTCTAGCTTCGAGTGAGGTGGTGAGCAGTTCAGCAAGGCTGGAGTCATGAAGTGTGTTTGCGGCAGTGGCATCATGTTGTCCACAGCTTCGCCTCGTCTCGCACCCCGCGTGCCCCCGCAGACCTACCGCTGGGAAGACCTCCGAAGGATCAGAGCGCAGGGAGGCTACCCATGGACTCATCTCACTAAGCCTCCCTTCAGCGATTCGTGGGAAGACGTGAGGTAGGTTGTTTGTAAACCGAGTGTATGACAGCGACGTAACCGATGCCCACACAAACGAATCCGTTTCTGGTGAGACCAAACCATGTTTCACCCGGTAAGCTACCCCACCCTACAAGACATCATTCTGGAATAGTTGCACTGTAATGAGTCTTCTTACATATGTGACTGGGATATTTATCATCGCAACCGTAATAGAACTTCATGACATTTATTTTGGCGTCTCGTTCACCTTGCGAAGCTGGTCAAAAATCCTAGTCTCTATGTAGTGCTGCAAAATGATAAGTAGAAAGAAACTACGCCAATGGTCAAGTTTCGTTTCTGGGAGACGTTCTAGGCACTTCATTGAGTTTACGTTTCAGGCCACTGCATGAAAATGTGTTCACAGATAAGTATGTTGCCGTTAAATCAGCAATGACTTAACTATAACACCCTACAAACAAAACCTTGCTTACGCCTACAGCGATGAAGTTACGGTGATATAATGAAAGGAAACATGTTTCCCGTTAAAATAAACATTTTATTCGGGTAATTACGTGCAGAAATAATTTTAATAAGATATCTTTATCGAATAAAATAGTATTGTGTAATTCAAATACAATATTATTATGTTAGTGGAGTATAATTAATGTATGTACAAGTTTGCTCGTTATGATATGCTAATAGCACTGAGTACTGGATTCCTCTTCCACTGAAAGCATCGCTGGATAACGAATTTAGAGAAGTCAAACGTTACCCTCTCGTTATTGTTCTCAGGGACGAATTTATCTACAAGCACTTGCTTAAGGGCCCTCATCCATGGGGGATTTTTTTTAGAGGGGGAGGTACCACGATTTTGTGCTTAGGGGAGCCCCGCAATACCTAAATCCGACCTCATTGTTCAGCAAAATTGCTGCTGGAAAAAACAAAATAGTTTAAAAAAATTAAATAAACAGTCACACGGCTCAAGAATATCAAATAAAATACTCTCGTCTTATACTGCAACAAATGAAATATTTTTACAAAAACAGTCTTCACGAATACTGTAAAAACACAATACGAAAGTATATACAGAGTACAACAGTTCTTTACATACCAAGAATATAACATTAGTGGTGCTGCAACAACATATACTTTCTCGCATTATTTCTAACTTTTGCAATTTTCGAAAATTCAAAAACTTCAGCAAAAATGTGACCTGCGCCTTTTTTTAAGAGTTCTTTGCACATTCCGTGGAAAAAAATAAAGCAAGAGAGTGAAAGAGTTTGACGAAAGCTTGAAAGAGTTTTTGAGAAATGTTATTTTTATAAATTGCCTGAATTTCAAGTAGAAATTCGCGAAAACTATTTTGTTAAAATGTACATGATCTTTTTAACAATATCATTTTTGAGAATATATTTTATTTTAGGAAAAATTATCTTTACTATTGTGCTTTTGGAACATTAATTTTTTGCAATTTTCGAAAATAAAGAGTTCGCCGAAAATGGGAGTAGCGCCGCTTTTTTAACAGTACTTAGATACATACGAGAAGAAAATTTAGAGAACGAATTTGGAGTCATTTATAAGAAATTAAATGTTTACAAGTTGCCTTTGTACACGCGAAATTAAGCGCAAACTACTCTCATTTTCGAAATATTGTACATTACTTAATTTCAAGATCCGGCTTTAAACAGATTTCATTCCGGAAAAAATATTTATCTTCAATATTGTAGTAGTAGGAAGACGCCAAACAATAATGAGCTAATGCAATTTTCCAAAAAATCAGGGATTTTGACAAAATGAGACCTGCGCCGGTCTTTTAAGTGTCATATACGCTATTCGGGGACAAAGGGGAAAAAATTGAAGTCATTAACTCGCAGGGCCTTGAGTTCTTTTAAATAGATTGAGGGGAGAAAATCGTCTGAACGGTTTAGGTGTTCTAGTGTTTACCATAGATAGACACGTTTTGCATTCAACTGATTTTTCGGTATCAAGGATCTACAGAACATGTATTCTAATTCCAGAGGGGTGAGAAAGTAATTTACTACATTTTTGAACAAGATTGATCAACATTTTCTTTACTAGGGCTTGGCAATAACCGTTGTTTCTGCCGAAAATCTCCGATATCAGGCGCACGATTATAGTACTTTCGCACCTTACGAAGTAAAGCGAGAAAGTAAAAAGATGCTCTTTCATAACGCAACACGTCATTAGCAAATATTTAATGACGAGCGGTCTCTTCTTTTCCTTGGTGTGCATGATACCAGTTGTATCGTAAGTAGTGATACAATGAGTGTGAGAATTCAGTCGGTATGAGAATAGGTGGAATATCACAATCAAATATTTGCATTTTTCAGTTAAAATCGAAATTTTGTTTCATTGGTTTTGGATTTTCCCGGAGTTCTTGGTTAACTAATGACACCATAGACTCCTTAGTCGGAGGCTGTATATTTTATTTTCAATTTCTGCGCGAAGTGGAAATTCGTAATGTCAATTAAAATAAATGTGTTTGTGTAGTATCTAATTATGTAGAAAAAGTTTTTCAGCAAAAAATATGCACTTTGCATTTAAATTTGTGTATCGATTTTAATTGTTTTTAAATCATCCCGCGTATTATCCGGGAGTATTAAAATAACGTACATGTATTATATGTGGATGTCTTGTGATCTATGGATATTCACACCTTATGAATATGATTCATACGACGTGTGTTGTAGTTAAAAAGATCTGTATTGAATACAAATATATTCCCACCCATCTAAGTCAGTTTTGATAAAAACTACTGATTCGTAAATAATTAGGCAAGCCAACGGTAGCACTCCAAGATCAATGAAGCGAGGCTTGCAGAAATCACGTGGTTGTCATTTTCTTATTATTCTGATACCTTCTTCTGTTATCTGATTACCTAGTTACAATAGGATATACTTTCTCAGAATGTTATTCCAAACCTCAGGCCGGAAGAAATGTTTGCAAAATACACAATAAGATGTGTCCGTTTTTTCTGCCGAAAATCTCCGATATCAGGCGCACGATTATAGTACTTTCGCTTCTTACGAAGTGAAGCGAGAAAGTAAAAAAATAAGTGAAGTCCCATTGACTAGAAAGAATTCTGAATGCGTAACATAATGAATTTAATTTAGTGTTCAATTCATTTATAAATGTACTCCATTCTAGGTTTGACTGAACTGAGAGACACAAACATTTTCTTAACCTTCTTATCGCATAATAACTTACAAACAAATTCACCGTCTAAAACCAGCCACCTAAAAATTTGAAAACAATTTTTCAAATTCTCAATATTATGACTATCACAATTTTCGGTCAAAATGGATGCTTTTGTTCTTCCGAAAGAGCCAAGAGTCCTCTTAAAAATGATGTAGGTGAAAATTGAAGTAATATTCATCTGTGCCTCCGCTGTCTAAAAGAAAAACAGTTTAAATGAAAAACAGTTTTCAATTTAAAAAAAACAACATGATTTTCAAAATTCACTAGGGATCTAATTTTACTAAAATTCCAAACATATGTTATCCTAATTGAATTGTTTTTTTTACGTTACATTTTTTTAAAAGAACGTTATTTTCTTATTGTTTTGAGACATACTTTGTAAGTTCTTTTCCGTTTGTCTTTAGTATCGTCGGTATTGTCTCGTCGGTACTTTATGACAGCTTGCGGCTGTAACATTTCTCAGGCGTATCGTATGACAGTTTTTTTACCACCCCAAATCAACTGAGACTAAAAATTGCTCAGCATCGCGTAGAAACATTGTTGATGATTTATTTTCATTTTGAAGGAAATCAATTTCAAAGCCCGTTAACAGTTTTGTCAAATTTTAATGATATGGAGTAGAAAAGCCTGATTCTTAAATTTTTTGTGACAACACGGGAGTGTGGAGGAGATGAATTAATTTTTCTCCTATATCGTAATAAAGAGACATATCCATCTTTCAGAAGTGAAAATATTCATTTTGAATGAAACATTTTGAAGTTACGGTAATTTGATTGTGGTCATTTTTTTTCGAATTTTTATTTGGCTTGTTTTTTGTTTGATTTTTAGCGGTGTATCCGTGTATCGAACTTTTTCCGCAATCGGCGTAATTTTGCGATCTTGCATTGACGATCAATATAATTTAACAACAATATACTCTCAATATTAGACTAAGAACATTTTTAACATTTTCTATTTAAATGTTTCTTAAAACTATGTTTATATTATACATGAGAGAGATCTCAACTATACCTTGAATCAGATTTCCAAAGTCTCTGCAGATACTCTGGCTTTCGTTGTTTGTGACATTTCTATTTTTGTTTCACTGCGATACAATTTCTCGTAAAAGCCGTCTTCAAATTTGACTGTCTTCGGTCAGACTCCTTGTTTTAGTCCTCCGTTCGAGACTCCTTGTTTCACTCCGTGCTCCGGGATTATTCTGAAAATCTCCGGGTCCTTTCACTATTTTTTATTTTATTTTACACAATTCTAAACATTTAAGTATAACATTTAATAGTGAGTACATATCCTTTATTGCATTAAATGCATTCTGATTATTCACTTCAAATCCATATTTTATTGTGTTTTCGAAAACTATTTCACTTCACACTAATGAAGTAAAAAGGACAGTTTCCGCATGAAGTGGATTGGTTTTCGAAAAGGTCATAAAAAATTCTTGTTCACCAACGCTAGCCTGAGAAAATACCGTTATAATTATATATCTCTTTCAATAAAAGATAAACAAAAGAAAAATACATTTACATATCTGATACTGTAAATATTACTACACTATTGTAAGTAGGATAGTAGGATTGTGTGTTACAACCCCCAAAATTTGGGCCGATTGCATCTGTAATATTTTGTTGTGTTGTCTGCTTTACTATGTTTTACGAGCTACATTAGGGAGTCTTCAATCAAGAGAATTATCTCTTTGCGCGAAGTTCCATTATTATACGACAATGGCCCAAGAATTACAAGAAACCTAATTAAAAATTGCAGTTCGGGAGGAAGTAAAAAAAAAAAAAATGTTCTGAGGCACATGTGAATGTTGTTTGCTGAAG